AGGGATATTGAGAAAACTCCAGACTCGCTGTGCCTGACGTGTGCGGCTAACTTCAGATGGTGCTACAAGAAGAGAGAAAACAACCCATGTTCAACATACAATAAGCATACCACCTTGGCCCAAGACTGAGAATCAAGGTCTCATGGGGACGTGGCAGTAGCATAGTCCCTCGTGAATAGATGCAATACGAGGTGGGGGACGCGTCCAGTGTTTGGTGTGTTGGTTGCAAGAGGGGTCAGTTGCCAAGTAGCATGAGGTTCCTTTGGAAAGAGGGACGACGGGCTGTGAAATACCGATTCTCTCGTGTTTTTGCTCGTGAAAATCTGGGTTTCGTGGGGCGTACTAAGTGCATCCTGCAGGTAGTAAGCAGTTCACCTGCATCATTGCATCCATGTCAGTTTAGGGGCATATTGAATAGACGTCGAACCGTAGATACATTGTTCTTGAAACCAATCATCTGAACCTCGCATAGATTATGGCGCTTTTGCAAATGAACGTTAAACTGCCTATGGCCTCACCATCCAAAGTATCCTACTTTGCTTGACACTTAGTTCAGCTAGACACGTGGGTGCTGGGAGAGACCATTCCTGGGCAACATACCAGTAGACTAGAAGCAAGCACGCAAGCGGTAGCTCCGGATCTTGTCGCGAAAATTACCCCAAAGATGCAGAGCTTGCGAAATAACTCTAGTGAAAGACAGTCCCCTTGGAAGACCCTCTTGGATCCATCGAAGATTTCAACTCGTGACTCGCAGCATTGATAGCAAAACGGCTCCTATTCGGCATGGCACCCCACATCGACCCGGATCCGGCATCCGTGTACTGCCCATCTCTCGGAAGCTGACCCCACCATGTCGGGCTCGTTGACCTGACCGGTGTGAAATGTAGCCTATCGTATGACCTCAAAGCCGTGGACTCGGTAACAGAATGGTAGCGTACGTTCCCAGGACCAAAGGCCTGGGCCGTTCCACGAGAGAATCGGACGATTTTGAGTCTGCCACTGTGACTGGACGTTTTTGGCTTGCACAAAAAGAAAGTTGACAAGTGAGGGATCCAGGAGAGAAATTTTGCATTTGAACGGTCACTAGATCAGAACGACTTCTAGCTCAGCCTCAAATGGGGGGACTCCACCAACAGGATGAATGGGAGCGAGCTTTAGGCCGTTCGGGAACTTTTGTGCCATTAGCGTCTGAGAAGTGATAGGGGCTTGACTAGAATTCTAGAATTCAGCCAGTCACTTGATTCAGCATACTAAATCTGGCAATGTCTTGATGTGGTCTTCGTGACGATTGCAGATATTCGGCGTCGTTCAACTAGCTGCATGTGAGCGAGAGTGAGATGATGAGAACAACTTTCTGAGCTCAAACGTGTAAATTAATTTTATATTATTCGTACAGACAAAACCGTTCCAGCCGCCGCAAGAGAGTGATAGATTGAATGAAAATAGTTCAGTATGGTAGTAACGCCAGCTCTTAGCAAAGACAGTCGAGAAAGATCTCATGAGAATCCCAATGTTCCCGTCACCTCGTAATAGCACGAGTATACGGGCGTCAGGTCCTGTGTCACCTCCGGCTTGCTTACGATTTCAACACAAGACTTTTGACGACGTAGGGCCTTGACCTTCTCCGCACTCGTATGCCTTCGTGGAGCTTTCGTGGCCATGCTCTCGACGTACTCCTTCAGCTGGTCAGCCAACAATACTGCCCTCGCCTTGCGCTCATACACGGTGACATCGTCGAAATCATTAGTCTCCTCTTCGTCGAGCTCCCCCAAGCCACGCCTGTGTGTCGCGAACCGTAGTGGTGTCTTGGCTGCTTTCACTTTACGCACAAAGTCGCGACGGCGAAGGTGATACCTGGACGACCTGGCGCTCCAAAAGTCTTTCGACATCTGTCCCAGCTCCTCGGCACGAGCAGACGCCAGGCCTGCAGGCGTGACGTTCACGTTACATTTCCATGACCCCGGCGCTAGCTTCTTGTCGGAAGAGACCATGGACTTGACGAGGTTCCGCATGCGGGTTTCGAGGAGCGCCCCGTTGCCAGGAATAGTGTGGTCGATCAAACCCATTCTCCGAGCTTCAGCTGGTGATAGCGGTGTCATGTCACGCAGTAGCTTGGTCGCCCCGGCTGAGCCACAACGCCCAGTGTAGGACAGGGAATGGTATTCCGAACCGTGCAGGCCGATCGCACGGTAGGCTGGGTTGAGAACGACCTCAGTGCCAGCAAGCACAATGTCGCATGCGGCAGCCATGGCAACGCCGCCCGCTGCACAGTTGCCTCTGATGCCGGCAACGGTAAGAATGTTCCGTGATGGGAAATCGTGAAGGAGGTAGTGCACAACGTCATCAATGCGGTTGATGTTGAGCCAAGACTCAAGCGCCGGGTCCGCAGCAGCCTCGATAACGTTTAATGCAACACCGTTGCTAAAGTATCCGTCACCCCCCATGAGCACAAGGGCGCTGAGTGGTCGTTCCACGACATGAGTGGATGCGATAAAGTCAAGGGCGTCAATCATGCGGGAGCACTGATCCGTACTCATGGCGCCGTTGTAGAAGTTGAAGTAGAGGAAAGCGACCCGCTTAGCATTGGCGAATGTCTGGAAGTCAACTGATATGTCCTGCTGGGTACTGTGTGAAGCTCGGGACCAATCGATCGTCGCCCTGGATATGCGGTTCTCTGTGATGGCGTCGCTGTCGAGGATGCCCAACTCTCTCAGGCCTGAGACAGCAGGTACCTTAGGCCATAGCATCGTGTCGGTCTTCTTCTTCACACGACGAATGTGAGTAATCCAGATGGCCTTCTTGTCGCAAGTCGCAACGCAGACGGCGTCATCCCGGCAAGCTACGACTTTGCCAGGTTGGGTATGGGTAGTGAGATCATTGCCTTCATCGATGTTGCCGCCATAAATATAGAGGTCTGGGCCAAACAACTTGGTAAGACAGCCTGGCTGAGAGTCCGAGGATCGAATCCTCCGGGATATTTCCCGAGCCGTGTGTGACTGAATGTTGAAGTCGCGTTGGGCCGCCTTGAGAAGTGGCCGATGATGTGTTACTCCGCCGAGGAAGGCTTTCTGCAGTGTGACAGAGGCGTCGCGGTAGGCAGGGTTTGCCCGGAGTAGCGGAGTGACATGATGCGGGGCGAACTTCTCAAATCCGGGCGACGGGGGAGGAGTGTATGGCGAAGCAGCCTGGACAGATGCCATTTGTATTCTTTCAATGGCTGCAAGCGTGGCTGTAAGTGCAGCTCGTGTAACGGGACCACGATAAAGGCTCGACTTCGTGACAGCTGGCGAGTCAATCTGCAAAGGGAACTGCTCGAAGGCCCATACTGGCCCGGCATCGAACTCTTCCACAGCTTGAAGGACAGTGACACCCCAGTATGGTCGGCCAGACTCGCTCCAGGAGCCTTTTTGGAGGAGAGTATCGGGGTCGGTCTCTGTGCCATCATCACCCATGAGCACCCAGTCCAAGGCACTTGGACCGGCGTCTCCTGGGGGACCGGGGTGAACGATGAGGGTGAGGTAGTTTTCGTAAATCTCTTGAGGAACACGTGCTGTGAGGAAAGGGCAGATGATGAGATGAGGTTTGGCGAGCTTGGCCGCCTCGATCATGACATCGTCTGAGAGGGCATATTCGATGGTGATTGTATGGGACTTTGACAGCGCCACATATAGACGCTGCGAAAGCGAATTGTGCGCGGTACAAAAAAAGAGAATATGCATCGCGACGGCGTTGGACTGAGACAGTAGCAGCACAGCAACTTGGGGAAGAGAAGTAACAGGGAGTCTGGGTTCGCTATTTACTTGCGAGGACGTGCGATCAAGTCGCATCATATATGCTGTTCATGATGGGGTGCGAGGGGTCTTCAGGAGGGGTTCCTCCATCGGAGACTTCAGCTTGTGAGATGCACAAATGGCTTCTGCCCACGCCCACCACCCGTTCCTGACCGGCCATGTGCGACATGAAAGTTTAACGGTCGCCTCCTGGCGCTTGCCATAAAAAAACATGCCATGTTCAATGCACCCCGCTTGTCTTGCCGAGTGGTGGTCTTTGACTCCGATCCGCCTACCTCGAGTCCCGCGAAAGTGAACGTGGTATTGCTGTTGTTGTCATCCTAGCTTCGACTTGGACCCACGACTTCGCACCAGACCGGACGAACCGGGCTCGGACCCAGGCGTGGTTTGGACGAACCATCCCAAGTGGCTGCTTTATCGGACGAGATGCTTCCTCTTGACTCAGGGGCGCGTGCTGAATTGGGCGACAACTGGTAGGCGCTAAGCTGAAGAGCAAAGGCCTTGCCTGACTAGCGCGTCCAGTCACCATCTCTAGTCAGCGCTGCTCAACTGAACAAAGCTACTACGCAGGACAGTACACGATGTGTTTCGACGCCATCGCAGAGCTTGGGGATCAGCCAACCCGAAGCGGGTATCCTTAGTCCATGGGGTCCGAGCATCTCTCGTGGTGTGGCTTTCACGGCATCCAGTCAATAAGGGGAGTTGATCTTCTCCATACAGCCGAGCACGGCCCTCCTGGGGGTAATGTGAAGCTTGTGGTCCACGTTTCTCGGCCGAGTTTCCATAATCGAAGAAAGCTTCAAGGCGATTCCTAATCAGTCCGATGGTCTCGAAAGGGTCCTGCAAATCAGATCGCGACGACGTGAGGCATGACTCTCCACATTCTCGATCGCGTGTTCGCCGCTACAGTCTCTAGGAACAGAGTACAACGGCACTAGTTTGATGTGACAGTGACGGCCGATGTGATGATACATTTGCTGATTTTCTTCGTACTAAACGAAGGCGAGTACGATGTTAGGGTGCCCTTGGCATACCTGCATTCGTTATCGTCGAGAAGCGAGCCTAGGGTCCTGGCACCCGGATACTGCGAGTTCCAGAATGTCCGATGCCACTTGGGGTAGGTGAACTACCTTATTAAGGTAAAGGATCTATGAACAACAGGTCGTCTAGAAATATGATCGCGCCTTTGGATGGAGAGGTGCTTGCTGTTCAGACCCCAAACGAAACGGCGATACTGTCGCCCTCGTCAGGGGTCACGGCAATTTCTAATAACTCATGAGCTCGATCAACAGTATCCGCGTCAATCGCGCCCTCATAGACCAGATCCTCTTCCGCAAAGTTAAGCCGTGACAATGAAAGGATGTACCGTTGAGAGCCGCCGTGAGACATGGAGAGCTTCGAGAGAATGTTTGCGACATTGGCCGTCTGCGGATCTGTTACCATGGTATGGAGAAGCAGAATAATCTGAGATATCAATAGGGAGACGCCACTGCGGCCGTCATCCCAGTCGTCTACAGCATCGCGGCGATCGTCCGGGGTAGTACCCACGGCCAAGTTCTTGCGTGAAGGGGAGAAACCGCTACTCGAGTCATCCACTACGGGGTCCGAAAGGTCGTACAAAACATCAACAAGCTCGCCCAGAGCTGTGACTAACCGGGGTATGACACTGACGTGGCTCGCGACCTGTCGTGCTCCATACGGGGTACGGGCAAAGGCCATGAGTGTTCGTAAGACTGCGAATCTGACTGCGTGCTTCTGGCTTATAGACGAAACTGCTCTAGGTAAGTCGACTAGGTTGAGAGAAACCTTGTCGATGATCATTCTAGCAGCTAGGCCGGCGTCTTTGCCTGGGATGATGGGGCCAAGGGAATCTGGGAGGGTAGAAGTGCATAGCATATCAAGCATGCCAATGATGTCGTCCAGCTGTTGTTTGGGGGTGAGAAGGATGAGAACCAGATCAAGAGTGATCAGCTGCCAAAATTCGGCTTGTCTCGTCTGCGCACCGCCGTCTGCTTCGAAAGTTGTCGTAGCGCAGGCTGCGGCAGACGCGTTCAGCAGAGACAGGATGTACGTAGTATCGACGTGCTGCTGTAGGGCTTCTGCGGCAGCCCCTGCTGAGACATCGCCGTCCTGGCTCTTGAATCGAGCTTCTGCGACTAAATAAATAGACTGTTGCAAAGTAGGAACCAAGTCATTGACGATCTGCGGGACCACTGATATGGTCTGGAGCTGCAGAGTAAAGGAGAGGAGTGAGGCTAGGTCCCAAACTGGCCGCAAGAAATTCTCTCTCAAACACTGGCTCCACATCTGGATAATAAGACGGGCGAAGTCTACCAGAAGTTGGACCGGATTCAGCGGAGTGCCCATCAGAGGCAAATGCTGGAAAATGAAAGATGCAAAAGACGTGGTCGGATCGGACGGGTATGAGTATCGTGACAATATGTCAAAAGTCGGTGGTTCCCCATGCAAGGAGCCATGATCTAGTATGACTTGGAGAAACTACGACGATGTAAGCTTAGATCCTTTGAGGATATGTGATGTGGAGGAACATTACTTCGAAAGGGATAGTAGTAGGTGCAGGGCCTGGATATTGGACTGGATTGGCGGTAGTCCCTGTGTCATCAACCATGATTACGTCTTGGGCGTCTGTCTCCAAAGCCATGACGGGACTATTGACTGGGGGCCGTTTCCGTTTGCCTTTGGTGGGCGTCCTCTCCGATAATGGGATAGCAACAGGCCCGGGGTCCCGGGTTTTGCCTCTGTTCTTGGTCGGACTTAAAGCGATGTCCATATCGTCGAATCCATCCGCAACGCCCCAGGTTTTGGCAGCCTTCTTAGGTGTAGTGGTTCCTGGCGCGGCGGACACTGGCGCATTTTCTCTTCGGCGAGGACGGGTTGAAGCATCCTTCATGTCCCTTTGGAGGAATTGCAACTCTGTAGTGGCCTGCCTTTCAGCAGCAATGGCGGCTTCCACGGCCCTCTCTTGCCTGGCAGCTTGTTCGGCATTCTGCTTCTTGAGGCGGGAAACCTCGGCTGCGTGATCCTGTTCGGCCTTGGTTGAGTTTGTTCGTATGATGGAGGCCTCGCCGCGTGCAGAGTTCAGCTCAGACTCGAGGGCCCTGAGCCGTTGCTGCAGTGCTGCAATGACATCGTTACCAGGTGCCGCGTGCAACTGCGACAGGGATTGTGAGGGATTGAAGCGAGCGGACGAAGGAGGAGCTGGTCGGACGAATTGGCTCGGTGGAGGTCGATACGGAGCTGCAGAGTGGGCAGGCTGAAATCGCTGTGAGGCTACAGGAGCGCCGTAGGATGGCACGGGGGGAGGGTATCGCGGCCGCGAGGAGAGCGTCGGAGGATTTGCATGGGTTGGTGGAGGATTCCATCTCTGTTGAGGTGGTAGAGAAGGGTGCCTGGCTGCAAGTGGCTGTTGCGGGTGCTGGTGTTGGTGTTGTTGTTGTTGTTGTTTCTGTTGTTGTTGTACTTGTTGTTGGGAGATGGTCTTGTCTATGGCGGGGCGAGTAACGGGAGGTAGAAGTTCGTTGGTGACTTCAGCATCGTCGAGGTCGTCATCTTCGAACTCTAGGTCATCGTAGTTCTCGACTTGGGAGAGGTCATGGGGCGGAGGTAGAGTTTGAGACTGGGAGTCCTGTTTTCTTTGTGCTTGCGTGAATTGAATGGCGTTGTTTTCAAGCTCCTGGAGAGTGGTGTCGTTCAAGTCATCAAAGTCGTCATCGTTGAATTCGTTCATGGTCGCTCTGAAGCGTCAAATCGCTGATCATCATGGACCCATTGACGGTTGAACTTGACAGAGAGGTTGGGGTGGGAGTTAGGAATAGTGGCAGCCCACCATCAGGCACCGCGGGCAGACAGGTCGTTTCCTTATCTTATCAGTGTTTGGAGGAGTGCAGTGCTCAACGCGCTGGAAGACGCGACTTTCAGGTTGAGAGACACGCGCTCAGCCACACCTGGGCACTTGCCCAAGGTCTGAGGTACCTTACCTTACCTAAGCACCAAGGTGAGCTTTACCTTAAGGTAGGCAGGCACGTGTAGGGTAGCCACACTTCCCAAGGACAATCATGTGACTGTGGCTGGTGAGCTCGGACGATTGCAGCGCGAAGCAGAAGACGAACAAATTTCAAAGCTCGCGCCTTACCCCAAAGCATTTGAACAAAAGCTGCTGGCCAGACCTGGACAGGTCGTTGGTTGCCACAAGATGGCATGTGATGATGTCAGCTTGCGTCCACACATTGATAGCTATCTCGGCTTGACCGGAGGCAGCATAAGCTATATCGGCGGACTTTGTTGCCCAATCTCAAGCTCCACGTCAGCCACGAGCCTCGAAAAAGCATTTGAAGATGCTGTGCTTAACCGTCCGTAGCACTTGGTGTCTTGAGAGGAAGGCCCTTGGCTGACCAACTCAACAACTTTGGTGGGTTGGTAAGATAGGATGATGCTCCTCCTTTCAGCGGAGCCCTGCAAAACATACGCGTAAGGAACTAAAGGAACCCTTCACCCGTGGCGTCTTGTGTGCATGGGGCTCCTTGGAGCTTGTGCTTTTGGAGGCGAAAGGTTCTTTCGTGCATGGGACCTTGCGCCTATCCGTGCCTGACTTTGAGGTGAAATAAAAGTCTGACTGTTCTCTCTCTTTGAAAAAACTAGCAAATAATTTTATTGGGGAAGAAAGAAATGCAGAGATCAACGGAGATGACGAGCAGTCCGGAGACCGAACCGACAATGCGAAAAGCGGTTTGCCCAATGAGGCGTCAGGACTATCAGCATTGAGGTGCGGTCTTGCCGACCAGCTGGATTACCTAATCTCCGCTCGGGGTGAACAACGGGGGCCATGCGGGCAATGGGGCCAGCAGGCAATGCGAGCGGACTCCAATTCCCATCTCCAGGGCCTCTCCCCGCCAAGAATGCAGGCCTGACGTAGCTCTTTTACGCTAATTTGCACCGTCATCATTCGCCCAGACCAGCTGCCCTGGCACCGCAGCTTCTGTCCGGATACTCTGTAGACGGCCCAGTAGGTAGGTAGATGGAATATCTGGGCCTCTCTGTGGGACAACGATAAGAGGAAGAATAATAACAGAAACTCTTGAATAATAGATACTGTAGAAGTACAAGTAAAGGTGAGAGAAATGATGGAATGAAACCTTACCTAGTGAGTAACTACCTAGGTAAGGTAGTTAGTTGGAGGAAGGAGCACTGCAGCGTGATAGCCCAAGTCCCGTCGACGTAGGCACAGCCGTAGCAGCCCGCTTCAGGCGTGGAAGGAGGTGGGTCCACTTGGGGATTCTGCGCCAGCTGTGCCTTCCCGCTTTCCGCCCTTCCTTTCTGCTCTGCTCAGCCTTTGCGTTCCCTCCCAGGTCTACGCTACCTTACTCCGTACGGGTTCAACAAAAATCCATCCACGCCGACAATCCCCATCTTCTTCGCCAACACGTCACCCACGACCGCCTGCGATTCCGAGCTCGACCCTGAGCAACCACGCCGTGAGACTTGACTAGAATTTGCTCTTCCGACGTGTCTCGACAACTCGAAGATAATCCATTCCATCGCCTGTCCTTGCGACCCAACGGTCTAATTTGCGCCGACTCTCCGCTTCCACTATTGCCATCGCAGCATCCGAACCACCCGCTTTTGCTTCGCGACGAATTATCACAACCTTTGACCTTTCTCCCGCCAACCAGGCTTGACCAGCCTCACCCAGTATCGCAGCTACCTACGAGGCCGACTCGTCGAAACCTCTTATCCTTTCGAGTATTGCGGAACCGTAAATAGAGACATGATGGCCCGCACACGGAGGGGCGTCAAGTTCCCTCACAAGGCCAATGGTCACGGTGAGGGGCGCCGCTCCAGCTTCAGCGATGTCAGTGAAGATGGTTCGCCCACCAAGCAACGGTCTGGCGCAGCCCTGGAAAACATTGTAGAGGTAAGCTCTAGATTCACACTCTGAATCTGCAAGGCCTTAGTGCGACTATCAGCGCCATCATCATCATGGTCATGGCCATGACCGCGACCTTGTTCAATATGGTATGGGCGAAGCTAACCTTTTGCGCCTGCAACAGCAACCTCAATCACCCGAGGAGGAAAAGCGAGCCGCCTACGAGAAGAAGAAGGCCAACTTCCTGACCCGTACCTTCTGGACCTTTGTCATGTTCGCCGGCTTCTTCACTGCTCTCTTCATGGGCCACATCTACATCATCTGCATCATGACTGCTATCCAGATCATCTCCTTCAAGGAGGTTATTGCCATCGCCAGCGTACCCAGCCGCGCCCGCCAGCTACGCTCCTCCAAGAGCCTCAACTGGTACTGGCTGGCAACTACCATGTACTTTCTCTACGGCGAGAGCGTCATCTACTACTTCAAGCACATCGTCTTGGTTGACAAGGTTCTGCTGCCTTTGGCAACCCACCACCGCTTCATTAGCTTCATTCTGTACATCTTTGGTATGTCCTTTCTCGAAGCACACCACGACATACCGTTCCTTTCAAGCACGCGCTAACTTGTGACCTCGCTAGGCTTCGTCTTCTTCGTCACCTCTCTCCAGAATGGTCACTACAAGTTTCAATTCACCCAGTTCGCATGGACGCACATGGCCCTGTACCTCATTGTCGTCCAGGCTCACTTCATCATGAACAACGTCTTCGAGGGCATGATCTGGTTCTTCCTCCCAGCCGCCATGGTTATAACCAACGATATCTGGGCCTACCTTTGCGGCATCACCTTTGGTCGCACCCAACTCATCGCCCTCTCCCCCAAGAAGACTGTCGAGGGTTTTGTCGGCGCTTGGGCCTTCACCATCTTGTTTGGCATGCTTCTGACCAACGTCTTGATGCGCTCCGACTTCTTCTTGTGCCCAGTCAACGTGAGTAATCTACGCCACTCCTAGCTAAACGCCGTCAATATTCTAACACCAATCCAGGATCTCGGCGCGAACATCTTTACCGGTCTTGAGTGTACTCGGAACCCCGTCTTCATCCCCAAGACGTACAGCCTGCCTCCTCTGTTCTTCCTGCCACCCAACATGCACCAGACCTTCTCCTTCACTGTGGCTCCAATGCAGCTGCACACTTTGGTATTGGCCACCTTTGCCTCTCTCATCGCACCTTTTGGCGGTTTCTTCGCTTCTGGGCTCAAGCGCACTTTCAAGATCAAGGACTTTGGCGACTCCATTCCGGGACATGGCGGTATGACGGATCGCATGGATTGCCAGTTCATCATGGGCTTCTTCACCTACATGTACTACCATTCCTTTATTGCTCTTCACAAGGTCAATCTCGGCAGCGTCATGGAGATGGCCGTCACTGGCTTGACTGTCGAGGAGCAGCTCGAGTTGGTGAGGGGCATGGGTCGCTATCTTAGCAACCAAGGTGTTTGGGGAGATGAGGTATGTCCTCTTGAATGCTGCTTGATTACGTATCGCGTGTGCTAACTCTTATCAGATTATCCAGTGTCTGGACAAGGCGTTGCAGGCCAAGCGGTAGATGTATCGACATGGCATATCGACAACTGCTGAACACGAGCGAAATGCTGCTATTTAATGACGAACTAATGCGACATCCGGCACATGTGCTGAGCAGAGCAAGGAATCACCTCCCCCTCCCTTATTTTCCAGGAAAGCAAAGGAGACGGGCTCGGAGCCGGACGGTCGGGAGCTGCGCGGGTAAATAAAAGCATTTGCGTGACGACGACGACAACGATGGTCGCTGTACAAGAGAGTTTTTCTTGGTTTATGACGGGCGGATGGAATTTGCATGGACTAGCTGTAACATACCCTGTCGCGACGTTTTTCTTTCAACATACCACGTCTCACTCTTCAACTTTTGAGCCAAGCTCGACCAGGCGTGAATCTCGAAGCCGTGATGCCATGAGTGTGTGACAGCCTGGCTCGAACTCGCGGTATTCGTCGAGATGCCTCTCTTATCGGCGATTGAGCCGCCCGTTGCGGAGGCAGGCCCCCTTCTCAACCCCAGGATACTGCGGCGTATTCCTTGTCCGGCCGTCCGAAGTTTGAACCGGGCCGGTCGGGTTTCCCGGTTTCCGGTATCCGGTCCTAACTTTGTTAGAGCGATCCCGGTCATGCCTTATCAAGACCCGCAACCCCGCTCCGGCCAGACACTGGGTAACATCTTCCGATGAACATTTCCGTCTTCCATTCGTAGGTGGCGTATTACCTATCAATCGGCGGCCATCATTATCGTAGAACTTCCCCAGATCAACTTTATCTGCAATACATCTGAACTCACAAGTCCTCGTTGAACTTAGCTTTCGCTTCTTCCATCTCGAAACAGATACATTTAGAGTACCACGGCCCGACAAAACGTTTGCTCATTTCCCGCAAAGAGACCGTCTTTCCCTTCAGACTCCGTAAACCGGTGCACCGATTACAAGACCCACCATGGCTCCGTCTGCCGTTGTCAGCGACACCGAGTCCATCGAGGCCCGCGCCGCCGCCATCGTCCCCAAGGAGGTATCGCACACCAAGCACGGCCATGAGCTCGCCAACAAGACGCCTTTGCAGGCCATGTCCCACGGCGATGTCGCTCTCGCCGGTATCCCTAAGTTCCCCGACTTCGCCTCCCAGCGCCAATGGCAACTGGAACACATGGCCGCCGCTTTCCGCCACTGGTACCGTGAGGACTACATCGAGGGCATGAGCGGCCACATCTCCGTCAGAGACCCCGAGCACCGCGACGCCTTCTGGACGAATCCTCTCGGCAAGCACTTTGGTCTTCTCAAGGCCAGCGACATGATCCTCGTCAATCTCGACGGCGAGGTTATCGGCGGCAATCGCAGCAAGCCCCCCAACACGGCTGGCTTCTTGATCCACGCCGCCGTGCATAAGGCTCGCCCCGACGTTCACGCCGTGTGCCACAACCACAGCATCCACGGCAAGGCCTGGTCAGTCTTTGGACGGAGGCTGGAGATGCTGACTCAGGACTCCTGCAAATTCCTTGGCGAAGCGCACAGCGTCTACAACAGCTACGGCGGTGTCGTTCTGGGTCCTGAGGAGGGTGAGCTGATCGCTCAGGCATTGGGTCCCAAGGGCAAGGGCTGCATTTTGCGAAACCACGGTCTGCTGACGGTTGGACGCACCGTTGATGAGGCTGCCTTTTTGTACACCTCCATGGAGCGCAGCTGTCGCGTGCAGCTCCTGGCCGAGGCTGCCGGCGCCAACGGGTTGGCAAAGGTTCCCATCACGGATGAGGAGGCGCAGTTCAACTTTGACGTTGAGAGTGACCCGGAGATTTGCTACTGCGAATTTCAAGTCTACTACGACCTGGAGGATGAGTTGACGAACGGCGCCTTCAAGAACTAAGGCTGCCGTATTGACTGCAATTAAATCATTGTTCCTCCTTCCCTCTATAGATTCCCTCCCCATAAACCAGCGTTCCAATTCAATCAATGTCAAACCCCATATTCACCATCCAGCTGCTTGTGAAAGTGTATGGTGCGAGGAATGATATCGGGACTCACTCGCCATGGCGGAGCAAAGGCGCAAGTCTCATGTTGCGAACTACCTACAAAAAGCTCGTTGAGATCGATATTTACTGTCATCCCGAACGAATCATTTCAATAATACCAGTCGCAGCCCTTCAGTGATACAGTCTATTGATGCATTACACCTCACTATCCTGGAGGTCTACTTCCCATAATGAGTCCTGAACAAATTCACAACAGATTTACTATGACCAACTGCTACCATACTACTTCTTCTTCATCATAAGCTTCTTGAAAGGGTTCTTTCCCTTAAACCTGAGCCAAGTCCCGACATAGACTACGGCATAATTGAAGACGATAAACCCGCAGAAGATGCCAAAGTCACGCCAGATGTTGCTGTAGTAAACGCTGAAGCCTGCGCCGAACTCATCACCCGTCGCGTACTGGCAGAACTCGCAAATACCCCCATCTCCAGTCTGAACGTATCCACCAGCCTGCTGAATATAAGGCGCGGTGTAATCTTCGCAGGACTGATTGGGAGGCGGCTGGTATCTTGCAAACTCGCCAGACTCGCACTGAACAGGTTGATCATGAATGGCGACTCCGAGGAAGGCTTCCAGCAGATAGTGGAAAGGGGTGAGCCAGTACATCCAAGCCCTCCAAAACGTAGGAAGTTGAGCAGCGGGTACAACCACACCGCAGAAACTGACGACGAAGAGGAAAAAGATGGGAACCAAGAGAGATGCGAGAAGCTCGTTGGGAGCGAATGCAGCTATGCCCTGGCCAAAGCTCACGTAGTATAGCTCGAAGAGAATGACCAAGAGGAATGCAAAGCCGGAGTTGAAGGCGGGAAGACGCCATCCGAACACACCCCACCACCAACAGTTGAAGTAGATGCCTCCAGCGACAATAGCGTAGGGAATCTCGACGAGAACTGCCGCTGTCGTCCAAGCAAACCAGCTGTAGATCTTTGCGTTGTTCTCGCGCGACTGGAAGATTTGGCGGGATTGAAGAAAGACTGGCTGCAATTGCTGGATGAGTGGCGGACTGATCGTTAGAGTCATGAAGATTGAGAACAGCCGATTCTGGTAGTCGACGGACGCGTAACCAATCTTGTAGAAAGTGAAGCAGTTGAAGAGACCTGTAAGGATGTGCAACATGAACTTTCCGACAATGTAGTTGGGCGTGCGCCAGTAGGCAGTGAACGAACGCTTGACTACCGCCACCGTCTGAGTCGTCAATGGCATGGCATATTCGCGGTCATCCTTGAGGCTCTTTGAGGGCTCTACATCCTTCCTCCTTTCCAGCATCTCATCAACCTCTCTGGATCTCTCGTCCTTATGCTTGGACTGCGCCCAAACATCTCCCCAGTCCTTCCCTTTGTAGTTCGGGTCACCAGCACCGATTGCCTCCAGCATGTACTCGGCTGGATTGCTGCTTGGGGGACACTTGTGCGCGCCGTTTGACTCAAAAAATTGAATCAACTCTTGGCTGTCGCGGCCGAGCGGCCCGTGATACGCAACTCGGCCTCCAGCCTTGAGAAGTAAAAGTTCGTCGAATTCCTCGAACAACACGGCTGACGGCTGGTGAATTGTGCACAACACGGCCTGGCCAGCGTCTGCCAACTTGCGCAAAAACCTGACAATGTTGAAAGCAGCACCGGAATCTAATCCAGACGTGGGCTCGTCCAAAAACATGAGGAGTTCAGGCTTCGATGCCAACTCCACTCCAATGGTGAGCCTCTTTCGCTGTTCCGCATTCAGGCCCTCGCCGACTTTGCCGATCGTTGCTCCGGCGATATCACGCATCTCGAGAAGATCAATGATGGTTTCGCAGTAATCAAACTTCTCCTTCTTGGAGACCTCTCGGGGCTGGCGCAACAGTGCCGAGAACTGGAGGGCTTCTCGAACCGTCGCTGAAGGTTCGTGCACATCCATCTGCTCGGCATAGCCAGTTGCTCTCTGGAAGGATTTGGGCAATGGTCGAGCGTCGACCAGGAATTCACCAGTGACTTTACCAAAGGTGAGGCGCTGAGCCAGGGCGTTCAGCAAAGTCGTCTTACCAGCACCTGCGAGGCATTAGCAATTGCAAACAAGAAATCCTTGGATTATATCAATGCTTACCGGAGGCACCCATGAGTGCAGTTAGTTTTCCAGGCCGGACGTATCCTTGGACATCATCCAGGAGCGTGCGCTCTCCCTTCTCGAAAGGTATTACGTATTTGACATTGCGGAATGTGAAGACCGTCTCATTCCGAGCCACTTGTTTCATGGTGTCTTCGTCGCTCTTCTCTTTCTTCGCAGTGTCGGCTGTCATTGTTTGCGTACTGTTACTGGCTTCGCCAGATTCCTCATCATCCTTCTTGCCACGGCCGCCAGCGGCGATGCTGTCCTCCACCTTCTTGGGGACCTGTCCACGCTTGAAGACGGTAATAGCGCCACCACCAGTGTTCGGCTTCATGTGCTCCATGCCCAAGGCTGTGAGGGCTACGAAAACGAAGAAAAAAGCCCATAGGAAACCGAAATTTCTCCATAAGTGAGAACGAGAATACGTGAAGGATGCTTCGATGTAACTGGAGCCGGGCACGATTGTCTGGCCAGGCGGGCTTCCGGCAAGCGCACAGCCTTGGTATGCCGGCGAGGCGTTTGGCCCTTGAGGAACGAGGTAAGGCGGTACACATTGGAGCTCTCGGTCGTAAAACTCATTAGACATGAGACACTCGAAGCCGTACTGGATCCAGTTAATCCACCGCAGCCATGCAAACCAGGGGCGCATCGATGTCGGAGGGATAAGGTAGCCTGTGTAGACGATGACGATCTGGACAGATACACCGGTGAATCTTGTAGCATCGTCCAAGGTCTTGCACCAAGCTGAAATGGCACGGAAGAAAGCGTAGGTGACCATGGTGACCAACCACAAAATAAGAGTAGCGATGAAGAACTGCGAAGCAGTTCTCGCAAGATTGGACATCCAATAGATGATGATGTTGAAAAGAATGACCTGAATGAATACAAGTGGCACATCCACCACGGTTTGGGCAATGGCGAAAGCTGCTGGGCGGTAGAAAGAGAAGGATTTATGCTTGAGTAGAATGGGCTTGGACTCAAACGCACTCGTCTGTTCCGCCAGTGCAAGCAACGCGTTGAAAAGAAGCAGGAAAAACAAG